ACATGTTCGGTGCTCATCTAAAATTTCTGAGTTTCAGTTTTCAGCTTACCTGTGCATTTCTCTTCATATAACACTATTAGTAGGCATCTAGAAGCAGTGGAGTTACATAAAGATTCGTGGCTCACACACCATGACCATTACAATAATAATGAGACGAGTAACCCTACGCAGCTTTTCAAGTTACAATTTATCGACCTTACTTTTAACAACCAAAGGTTCATTTCACTTTGCTCCTGTTACAATTGTCCATTCATCATTAAACACGAAAATCTGAGACACGTTATATTTAAGTTGAGCAAGCACTAAGTTCTCATCGTTAGTTTAATGTGGTTGTTTTCATTCGAGACAATTCAGTCTTCGCAGTAGCAGTATCCACTCATATTACTCTACGGTCACTCTACGCCCGTGTGACTAAATGTAAATAACCTCTATAGAAATGATTATTTGAAATTAGATCTATATTATATCCAAGAATTAACTACCATAGAAACTATAAGTCTGAAAACAACTATTTCTTCTATGGGATTGTTTTATAAGGAACATTCCACGTTATGCCATATTATTAGATTCAAATAAAAGAAATATGTGATTCTCAAAACTTTAATCGAAAACCGCAAAAAACATTGTTTAAATTCATCATCATCATAAGCCCTTTCACGTCCCCATGGAGCATGGACTTGAGATGGCCCAAGTGATCCTCCACGCTGTCTCAAAGCGGATTGGAGGGTATTAACAATTGCAAATTTTTTGGTCACCCATCTCGTGACCGACCCCTGCGAAAGTTGCTTAACAACAACGATCTCGGGTCATGCCGCTTATCCGCTACGCTACCGAGCTACCCAATCAATAATAAATCTAACCTTTGACCTTGTCTCTGTCACTTAAACAAACAATTGATCGATGTAACAAATGTTGGTAACAATTTCACTGGCGCTACTCGGCATAGAAAGTGCCATCGCCCGACACAGGAAGAGACATTATTGCGTCCGGTTGTGCACGTGATCCATCGGAGACGAGACCACCGTCACCGACTGTACAGATAGCATTTGTGAGAGGTAATGTTTATGGCAAGTAATAACTTTTAATTGCAATATAGAAAAACTTTACTTATAAGCTGGCAACATTTTCATAAAATGTATCAAACAGAAAGTTACCATAAGAATACAAGCTTGTAAAATGTATTTTAAATTTTTTTGCTAATATATGCCAAAACAAACGTTTTAAAGCAGGTTAAATACTAACTGTTCAATAAATTCACCTCATTCTAAACAATACAATAACTGCAAAAATTAACGGGCGCAAAATTGATTTACACGCAAAAAATGTTTCATATAGAGACAACAATGCGCTTGCATGCTATGCGCAAGAGCACATGTCGTGCTGTACCGTGGGAGCGACGCACACATTGTATCCATACTCGAACCAACTTATATATCATCTTGCTTTAACAAATTAAGCTCTTAATCCAAAGTAACAAGACCCATTCAACACATCATAACTTGTTATAATTCCCCCATCAAACACTCTAGGATATTAGTCCTTAAGCCGCAGCTATAAAATTGATATTGTAAATGGGCATTATTAAAAAATGATAAATCACTCAGTGCTTGTTCACTATTTGTTATTCTATATAAAGAAAGATGCAACACTTGACACAATTGCTTTGATGTAAGTAGTGTAATAAATGACATTTATCAATTAATTAGCCTTTTACGTTATGTAAACTTGTAGAGTAATGAGGATTATTCTATTAAACTGTCCACGCTAGTATTATAAATGAAAAACTCCATCAATGTGTCTGTTACGTTTTCACGTCTTAACTACTAAACCAATTTTTTAATTTGGTAAACAGATATTGGAAAATGACATAGGAATATTTTTGAAATAGGTTTATAGGATTTCCACGTGGGTGAAGCCGCGGACAGAAAGCTAGTTATAAATATGAGAAAGATTGGAACTAAAAAATAATGATCGTTTAGTAATTGTTACATTGATGTGATTATATCATTGTCACACTTTTCATAACCAGTGAGAACTATGCCAATAATATCCGTGACAGTCTCGCGTCGAATCAAAGTAATTATTTTAATACAAACTCTGGAAAGATATGTCGCAACACTAAATAACGATACACCGTTATAAAAGCACAGTTAGTATTTATCATTAACAATATGGGAGAGTTCATAAGAATCGGGGGTGTGCCATTTCCATTGTTTCTTGTCGTTGAAGCGATCACACGATACCCACATCACGACATCAGGAATATAGATTTATTGCCGCATCGAGAAAATTTTTTTTAATAAAAGACGGGAAATATTTATCTAAATAATTATAATGTCTTCTAAATAAAAATCACGGCAAAATAGGACACAATATAGTAAGCAGCAACTGCGCACTGGTTAACAGGGATTTGAAATTAACACATGGTAACCGTAAATTACAATAAAGGATTACGTAGGCGAAAAGGATTACGTAGGCGACGACAACTGGAAGGTAAACATGTGGCTGACGAACTGTACGAGCTACCATTATGGCTCGTTGGAGACAAACAAAAGTAACTATATAAAGACAAAAATTAATAAAATAACAGACAAAGATGTGATGATAACACTGATTATAGTAGAAAACTTCAAGGTCTAATTAATACTGAAAAATAAGGGAGAGGATGTAAGAACCATGAATCTAAGCCAATGGCAAACCATAATAAGGGCACTGTAGCACATCGAAATGTTGACCATGACGTACCAGTAAAAAGCACCTGCGGTTTAATGCAAAAAACCTCATTAACCACCATGAAGACATTGGAACTCGGCCGCGGCTGCCGTTTTGAAACACTCTCACGTCTTAAGCTCACTTTCCATTGCGCGCGCGCACAATGCTATCTTATATGCTCCCAAACCTTACCTGAACAATCGAGAAATCTCTTAAAATCTCACTCGGCCATCAGACGTGCCGTATTAATTAATAGACCAACACTAAAGTCGTACAATGTCGAAAATTCATTGTCGTCTTGTTCTCATATTTGTCTAGCTTTTTAATAATATCTCACGCGTTATTACTTATTTAATTAACAATAATGCTCAGGGTAAATCTCTTAACTAAACAATGGGTCAATTAGTGATGAATTGAATACATCTAGTAGTTTACCTGCCTGATTATGACGTAAAGAGGATCCTTCGTATTTATGAAGATAAATAAAACAATGTATTTTTAGTTAAGAAATAATAACTGTAATAGTATTAAAAAATACGAGATCTTTTTAACCGACTTCAAGAAGGTTCTCGATTCGACTGTATGTTTATTTTGTGTGTTTGTTACGCGATTCTCCCACCCATTACGAATCGATTTTCAAAATTTAATTTTTATTCTTAAATAATATATTAAATGATTTTATATGAAAGTACGTTTGTTCACAGATTTCTTCTTGGATACGCCATGCAAATAAATTAAAATTTTCTTTCATTTCGTTGTAAATATAATTTTAATCTTTAATAGATATTTAATTTTTTAGCGATAACTATACAAAATTTAACTAAAACTATAGAACAAATATATAAAAAAATAGAGCCGAATTCAAATTTAAAAAGTGATAAATAATTCTCATTTTAAAAGCGTATAATTTGTTTCTCTTAATCCACAATAAAAAAAACGAATTCAGGTGTAATAAAAAGTGATAAGTTTGAAGTTAATTACATAAATGGTTCACCTATTAAACCACCAATCGTACAAATCACCATCAAATTGGACCGGTTTTAGATACCACAAATTATAACAAATATTTGCACTATAAACGTCGAACTCGTACAAATACGGGTGATACGCGATCGTTATCGAACAACAAGTCCACACGCACTTCCTGCCCGGTAGTCCGATCTTCACACATCACCTGCGGTCAATGAATTCTCATGACATACCACACCATGGGAAACTGAGGAAATTCCGCCATTAGCATCTTCTGCGAAAGTGAAATCTGACGATGACGCATCACTATCTGATTTCTCATTGCAATTATGGGACCATCGTAGTTGAAATGAATACCAAGTAAGTAATAAAATGAATCCTATAAGTCTTTGTGATTTTACCACACCATAGTGACACCACCCAAGTAGATCGTAATCATTCTAATATAAACAATGGTAACAACCATAGGAGAACGCAATCTTGCATCTTTGTCTATTCTAAATTCTTTCGTAATTCTCAAATTAACCAGAGAGCGTGAAATCTCGTTGCAAATATTATAACTCGAATTCGCTCTAATGCTATTAAACTAAAATCTATAATATCAAAACTTATACATAACTAATGTTATTGCACGTTGAGAGACAACATCCTCCAAATATTCTGCAACTTGTTATTATCTAACGGAATCGACTGCAAACAATCAAATAAGAAGGTTGGCAACCGAACAACCACTCGTATATCAAATATTAAATTGCGACATATATAACACCTTATGTCGATATTGTCTAGGATTGTAGTAACTCATATTTCAAGCAATTATCTAACAATACGAGTATTCAGTTGAAAATAACACCACTATAATAATACATAAATAAAAACAATTTCAAATATTTTAAAACAACGGCCATCAGGGACTAGCGAATTTTCAATCATTTTTCATTAACATTAACACCAATATAGCAGTAAATACAAAATGGATCAAATCTTACATCTTCAAGTGTTTATGACGAATTAAATTAGTGTTAAATATTTAGGTAGTAGAAATAAGATGAAAGATAGATATAATTTTTATTGGCCTTCCCAAATGCATAATTTCTCTGTGGAATGAAAAAACCTCAATTTTTAAGCTCTCGTAACTCATACCGCATAAGTTACTTGAAACTATTCTAGCCACTCATTGTATCGTAGTCCAAATTGTAGTCTCAGCGATGATTTTTGTAAAATTACATAGGATGTTCCAAAAGCACTGGTTTTCTGAAAGCCATGCTTCATTTGCCGTGCGTGCAAGGTATATAAACACGAGTTAGGATGTAACTTACTGTGCGATGTGAAAGATTGGTGACGGAGTCGTGCCGATGCTCGAGGCTGCCGAGGCTGCAGCACGAGGCGGACGAGGCGAGACTGACGGAATCTGCGCGCGCGCGGTGTGGAGACACCGCCACGTGCTTCAGCATGCCTACACCTGACAAATATAATAGATTTTATAACAATCCTTGAAAAAGCGAAAACAATAGTATATAAAAATTCAATTTAAACATATAGGCCTTCTTAAGATCCAAGATTCAAGTATGAAAGAAAGAAATAAAATACAAATACAAGAAGACTATGGATGATGTTTCGAAATCATAATCTGCCACGAAGTATAATTTTGATAATACTATAAGTATATGTATATAACCGTAGCTTATGATACCAGTTTCACAAGCGGATTTTTCTCCCCGGTACTAGATCTAATTATAAATATTTTGCAAAGTTCTACAACTTCGACACATCCTTTGCAACATGTTTTCAAACACGCTCATTAGAAATAAATAATGTATAATATGTAGGACTAGTTTAGCTTTGACCATGACATTAATTTAATTATATTATTGTATGAAATAGATGCAGGATTTGGCGACACAAGAAAATAAACAAATTAAATGCAATAACTTAAGTAATGTAGTACAATTCATATATTTTTTGGTAAATATGAATTTCAAAGAGTCATATTGAAAATGAATCTTATTTAGAATGGCGGGTGTGTTAAATTTATCAAAAACGTCACATTTCTGGATTGTCTAAATATGCCTTCAATTAATGCCACCACATGTGCATCTGTGCATCCCTCGTTTTGTTAGCAGGCGCCGGACGTCCTTCCCAGAACATCCTACCTGCTAGCCTTTTGTTCATCTCAACCATCATACGACGGAAATTGGATTCCAAAGCGTGCAAATAATCTCTACACGCTGTTTGTATTAAAAGTACCAATTGATTGATTCTACTCAGATTGGATCGCATCTAATATTAACGTCTTGTTCGTTTTTGTTATGTTTTTTTCGGTATACAAAAACTCGTTTCCTATATGCTTTTATCGGTAATATTCAATATGATAATAATTAATCTTCATAATTTGATACGTATGAGATATGTTATCTTCGATTCCCAATCAACAACGTTTCAACAACACCTAATAAGTGACAACCAATACGTAAATAAAACAATAACCCCAAATATGTTGAAATAATGAAATTCTTCAAAGGTCGAACATCGAACAGTGTAATGAGAAGAATTAGAAATTAAACGAATGAGCCTTACATGGAACAAAAGTGTGAGAATTCATTCTCAATGGATCGATCGAAAGCATTATTGTCTATAATTGGTGTAGCAACATTTTCCTAGTGAAAAATAATCTGTAGGTTCATGTAGTAATGGATCGCGGATGTCGGTGTCTAGTGCGAGGAAATTATTAAGCTATGGCATGTAGTTCCGCTAACACGGATCTGTCTTTGAAATAGTATTCTTAAATTATTATTTCTTTTATTTATTTTCGAATCTTTTCACTAGTTAATTAGAGTAGTTTTTTATAAGTCCAACCATCTAAAATAGGTCCTATTTCTACTAGATACTCGATCACAAATTTAAACTAAAATGTATTCTAGTTTGTTTAGAGTAGCTACTCGGTTTTAAAAAAAATTTTGATAATTTTTTTTATTTCTGCATTATTTTCGATTAATCAAACATACCTTAACAACATTTTAAGTATATCCACAAAAACACGTAGTTTGCCATATTCAAAAGTGTCTATTGATCTTTAAGATTTTTTGTAATAAATATGCTTTGAAATATGTGATGTGAACGCATTTGTTAAAGTATTGTCAAAGTCAAAATTCCTATCAACTGTCGTTAAGATTTAAGTACACTAATATAACTTCGGAACGAATATGTATTTATAGGTACTATATTTGATAAATTTTGTATCCATAACTTCATATTTAAGCAAAAAATGCCGATAAGATAGGTATAATCAGGATAACTGCTTTGAATGTGATACGGAATTGAATCCCAACTCTAGCACCGGAGAAGTATTTTTTAAGTATTGTTCTATAAAATTGTATTTAGGTAGATTTTTTTTATTTATTTTTTTATGGGATGGGGGCAGACGAGCAGACGGATCACCTGATGGTAAGTGATTACCGTCGCCCATGGACACCTGCAACACCAGAGGGGCTACAAGCGCGCTGCCGGCCTTTGAGGGACGAATATGATCATAGGAAGGGAAGGGTTGAGGGGTAGAGGGAAGGGAATAGGGAGGGGTAGGGCCTCCGATACCCTCACTTACACGACGAAAGACAACACAAGCGTTGCTTCACGTCGGTTTTCTGTGGCCGTGGTAGGCCGTGGTATCACTCCGGTCGAGCCGGCCCATTCATGCCGAATTCATCAGAAAATTTCTCACATCATTTCAAAAAAACTTCGCAGATAAAATGAGGACATCACACAAATGCAACGATTTATGAAACTAATAACATCGAATACTCAAACGCTAATTGTGTTGAAGCAGCCAATTTACACAGTAATTTGCAAAGTTAATGGCACCAATCCACAATTTACAATTATTATAGACATGCGTTAAGGTCACGGAAATCTTGAGTGTTGTACATTTACGTACTTACATCGATAATATATGAAATAAATAAATCATGTAACAAAGGAAGTTTAATTGTAAAAAAAGAATTAAGAGATAAAATTCTATTACGGAAGCAGTGATTAAAGTTTTTACAGTAATAGTACATGATTTTGTACAAATTCATTGTGAGTTTTAAAGTACAATCAAACCGGGATTTTACCTATTATCTTGTAAATAAGAAACACACTTACAATATAACATATTTTAATATCCAATATCCATATCGATATAATTATTGCCGACTGAATAATTACATCGACATCGATGTTTGCTTAAGACTGCGCCGATGCATCTTTGAGACAAAAGGCGTGGTTTCACATCCGCTGCAGCATCTGCTTCCACAAACTTATTGTCTGAAACGCATTGCTCTTAGATATTATAACGTATATCATATTTTAACATTATTTAACAGTCAGAAAAATTAAAATGTCAATGTCATTTCAATATAAATTAATTAAAATTAATACTTGAATCAAAAAAAAATAAAAATTGTTAAAGTGTGTTCTACACTTTATTTGGCGTTAAATAACGTTTTCATTATCTACTAATTGCTTTCCATAAAATTTTAATCAGATTTTTATGTATAATTTTGTTATTAATAAATAATAAATATTTAACAACATTGCTCAGATTCCAAGATGAGTAGCTAAAGCCCCCGTATTATGGAGCATTTGAGACAACGAAGGTACCACATCACCCAGACCCGACTCAATATAGAAAAGTTCATTTTCTACATTGACCCGACCGGGAATCGAACCCGTCCTCAGAGATGGCGACACCTTGAAATCGGCGTGCGAACCACTCGGCTACGGAGGTTATTAGCTTTTGCCTGCAAATTCATTCTCATGGTTGCTTTAAGCAGCAACTCTAAAAATGCTTAAACAAATATTTATTCATTAAATCGTGTAAAATATATGAATATTAAGTTTCACAATTTTATATTTGACAATGACGTAATACAAACATTTGTTCCCTAATTCAACCGTTTTTTCACAATAAAAAGCAACCTATGATAATACATTACAATAATTAAACGATTCTTCTTGTCACTTATTTCGATTCTCCTTGTAGACAGTTACCTAAGGCTAAGAACAATATAAATCACAATTTCTTGGTAAACTTTAAACTACAGTGTGTTTCCTTTCGTATATAAAATTATTTGTATGAATATAATAATTTATATAATCTTAATATGGAAAATAGAAAAATATTATATTATTTACAGAACGCGCGTCAACATTATATACTCATAATTATTAATTAAATATCTTAAATAATAATTCTAATTGATCAAATCTTATCATTAGGAAAAGGTAACAATTTATCGGATAATTTACTTTTACTTTTTAAAAGTAAAAAGTAATTAAACTACTAAATTATAGTAATAACAAAACCTGATTAATTATTTTCTTCGTTATATAAAATAAATTAATCAAGGTAATTAAATCGATATGTAATTAGTGAAATAGTTTAAAAGAGCGCTTAAGATTGTGGTTATAGAAAGTGATCAGTTAAAAAATGTACCTATGTTATAAATATAAAGCTTTTTTTGCATTTTGTGATACAAGAGAAAAAATTTATAATATTTTTAAATAATAATGAGTTAATTATACTTCAAAATGTTTATATCATCAGGTAATATAAATAAAAAATTTAAACTCGTAACATGTCAATAATATACTAATATACAAGTGGCTGACGAATGACATCGTCGAAGTTTTGTTTTTAAAATTCACAAACACGTGTTTTTCTGTTCAAATAAATGAACGTATCCTCATTTGCCACAATTGGCTAAATTATCTGTGATGGTCAACTGTTAATATGGAAAATTTGGTAGTTACACGTAACAAAACCTCTATTTATAAGCTTGCATTTTCAAATATACAACAGTATTTGCCTTTCCATTTATTAAATATCTGATAACAGCCCAACAAACAGTTTCGCAAAAAAAATCCGCAAATTTCGAGATATTTCTATGGCATCTATGGGACGTCTATAAATGTCTACACATAAATCCTTTTTTAATGTTATTTTATTTGACGTTATTAATAATAATATAACAGAAAGTCCTTTTTTTTTTAAATAAATAGTATTTACCTATATCCCATTGAGTGATGTAACTTCATTAAAATAAACATGAATCGCGTGATGTTTTTAATTTAATTCATTAAAATGTAAATTTATAAACGTACAAATGAAACGGTAATGTAATTTGCCAAAATTAGATACGACAGGGTTATACCAATAACCCGTTAACATTTAGTATTGTTCTTAATTTGGTAGAACAACATTTCGAAATGTTCACAATACCTTACGCCTACCTCTACGAACGTTGGATCAAAGTTGGCGTTACTTAACATGTAGCGAACCTTAGTCAATGGATAATGATTTCCTGAGTTACCAAATACTGTGGCTATTTTACGATTAACAATAAAAAGACATGATATTAGAAAGCAGTTGAATGTTTTTCAATTAAACCTTACATATAGATTACGAAAAAAAAATTCACTGAT